TGGTATTGGAAGAAAAGCCTTTTGAGCAGTGACTTTTACGATGAAAATATAGATATTAAATGCTAATTTTACCCGCCTCTAAATTTGAAACCGAAATGAACGAAATTAAGAGAAATATGGAAAATGAACATTTGAAGTTTACGATATTTTTATTATAAATTTTAGGTCTATTGGTTTCTAATGCTCTTAGCGTTTAACTCGTAACTTTTAAAATATATTTCATTGTTTGTTACAAAATGGAACCTTACTTGATCTATTATTTTATGTTTATTATCCCATCTTATAGCTTGAGTTAATTTTAATAATGATTTATTATAATTCATTGGCGCATGTGTAATGTTCAATGTTAAAAAGCTCAAAATATAAAAAATACGATTACTTTTTAAACATTTCTAAAAATGAGACTGTTCCCAGTCTCAAAATTAAAATAGAATACAAATAACTTACTGTACCGGGTGAAAAACAAAAACCCGATGAGACCCAAAACAGTCTCATACACTCACAATCTCATCGGATTTTTGTTTTTACCCTGAACAGTAAGTTATTTGTATTCTATTCTAATTTTGAGGCTAGGAACAGTCTCATCTTTAGAATTTTGTAAAGAATATTCGTGTTTTTTTCTAATGTGAGTTTTTCAACATATAATGATGATTGTTTGTTTTTGAATTTTTGTAAAAACCTAATCAAGGTCTATCCGTATCTTATTTTGAACTGATAAACTAGAGGGAAAACAGCTAATCAAAGTACTCACAGCTAATTCTTGGGCTGCTTTTGCGTGATCAGATAGTGAGACTTGACCATCTTTGTTATAAAGCCCATGTAACCCCAAAATGAGGAGACGCAAACATTTGACCCGTAAATCCACAGTCCGATAAGCTAACCACTGGGACATGCTCGATTCATTTTAAACCAACCGTCCGGCTAGCTAACCCCTGGGGCATGTTCGGCGTATTTAAAACCTACAATTCGGCAACCTAACCACTTGACGTATTTTAAAATTGAATATGTATCTTCAAAAGAACAAAACATTTTAATGCTGTACTCCTTTAATTTTAAGGTGAATTATTCCCTTTATCTTAAATATAAAATTATTTGAACGTAGAATTTTTAATGTGTCTGTTCATAGATGTATTTTACTTGACCAAGTTTTGCAATCACAGCGTATATAAAAGAAAATGAATTATTATTATCGAAAATTGTTTAAAAAACAAAGTATTTTTTAACATGTTAACGAACGTTCGGTAAATAAGTAACGTTATGGTAGTTTACAAACGGTAAGCATTTCTTATGTGTATAATTATTTTTCATTTTATAACGAAAATGAAGTAAAGGAAGTAGACTTGTCTTTGGCTTGAACTTTGGACCCTTGTCTCATTTTAGAGTACTATAGCTTATTTTCTAGTTCTACAGGTCCATATTTATTTCTACACGAAATTAATACGTTATACAATAATGATTTGAAGTCTCATTTCGTCATTACTTTCCACTTCGTTGCATCCGATCATGCTTTATTTGACGGCCGTGCATCTTGAGAATAACCCTGAAACGTAGCTTCCATTTCAAAGGCTCAGTCGTAAACTGTCATACCCTCAAACACATCACTCTTCCCTTCTTTATTTCCATAATATATATAGATACTTGAGGTATTCAAATTCGATGATGAGGAACCCACTTTGAGAAAAATAATGGTTGGGGACGGCTTGAATGGGTAATGAAGAAAAACTTTAATATACCTGATGATGACAAATCCTTGTCGAAACGTTGTTCATTTGCTGTTATGTTAAACTTATAATAATGTTTTTCGTCATTAGCCATTCAAGCCGTCTCCAACCATTATACTTGAGGTATGTCATGGAAACAGATTGTGTCACTTTTCCAGTAATATTTCCTGGGCACGTTGATAGCGTTTGCCACTGATCTTTGTGTTCGTGGATTCTCATTTGCTACAAGAGCTCCCCAGTGGCACAGTGGTATGTTTCAAACTTACAACGCTAGAAACCGGGTTTCGATACTCGTGGTGGGCAGAGCACAGATAGCCCATTGTGTAGCTTTGTGCTTAATTCCAAACAAACAAACTGCTACAAGACGTGTCACTTTGTTTACCACGGTTGGGATATAGCTAGTTGCAGATCTCTTTCTGGATGGTTCTGGTACCCCAAAATGATCTATATTTCACCGGTTTCTAATGTCATTAAGTGAAACGAATATTCTCATCTTGGAAATTCTAAATCTTTGATCTGAATATATTCTTAACATCTAAGTGTATTAATATTTGGATAAGAAAAAGCTGTTACATGCCCTTCTCTTAAATGATAAACTTTTAGTGGCCAAACAATCTCAAAATATAATTATGATATATGCCATTCCACTGTCACTTTATATCAGGTGTGGTTGTCACGTGACTTGCTGATTGCAAATTTATAGTCGTTTTAATATAACGTACTCAACCCTAAGTATCATAAGCATTTTATGGTGATTTATAAACTTTGTTATAGCTTTTACTTTAATTTTTTTTAAATTAAAACATACATTGAAAAATAGCTTAGAAAATGTGTGATATATGTACGTGATATATCTACATGCATGAAATAGTACATATTTATTTTTTATGAAAATTTAAAAGTAATTTCTATCAGATAATGTCGAAGTCAGTGTGTGAGTGCTTATTTTAACACAAAGTTATTTACAGTGTCCACCGCGGAGAATCTAACCCCGGAATTTTGCGTTGTAAGCTCGTAGAGCTTCCGCTGACCCAGCAAGGCTATTAGGCCAAACACTTAAACTTCTGAGTTTAAAATAAAAACATGCGAACAACTTATTTCTCAAATAGTTGCTTACGTTGACGAATTAGTATTTTTTTATTATTACCTGTTAATGTTCTCTGTGCACTTTTGAGACAAAGTAAAAATGAATTCTATCATAAGAATTTCTATGTACAAGTATGAATAGCACTAAAATATATTTATATTTAAAAAACAAAATCCAAGGACATTAAATATCTAAGAAAATAACATTGACGAGAAGATAGCATGTTCTTAAGATGACTGAAGGCTAAGCACTCTTTATCAGCTTTGTCATATTCAATCCTTTGCTTCTTATCTTGTGAACTTTTCCCGGAGACATATACAGGTTTATGGTAATGACTGTTTAGGTCATACGATTCTGTCTGGTTACCACTTCCCTTTGCTGATGAAGGCGTTATTCCTGGCCGGCTTGGCGTGTGTTTTAGGAACCTGTTGCTGCCTTAACCCTCTGGTGTGCGAATTTTCCACTTCTATGGAGAATACTGAAGGTTCACGTTTATGAAATATTGTGTTCATTGATCCTACGTTGTTCAGTTTAATAATCTCGCTATGTAAATATCTTTCTTCATGAAGAGTTGCGATATTTAATCCCATTCTTTCTTGACGACATAACAATGTAAGCCACATATATGGGCATTAAATATCTCGTCAAAACACAATGGGATTACCCAAATACATTAGTATACGCCAATAATCCCTATAAAGTGCGATTATCACTTTATTTTAAGTTCGAGATATAATGCAGTATATTTAATTACCTGAAAAAATATGTTTAGCTTCTACTATTAAAATGCTAATGTTTTACTGTGCATTCTTTTTCTTCTGAAAACACAGTTGCTTCATGATTTTCTGTTGACAGAATCATCTTAACAAAAAACGCAAACAAGTTTTTATGTTGTAAATGAAAGTAGAAAAGTGTCATTCAAATAAGGTCAGATTTACTCGGATAAAAAATAATTATCCAGTATTATTGCTATTAATATTATTCCCTTTTCCTCTTAAAAATCACAGATTTTATACAATTGTATAAATGTACACGTTATTTTTTAATATTTTAGTAAAATCATAATGTTAACGTTACGATTGACATTTAAGCTTTTATAGTTGCTGTAATTTAAATATTTTTGTTTGACGAAATAAAGCTAGGATAAAAAAGTAATTATAGAGAACTTTTTGTCGTAAAGAAATGTTGTTGTTTTTTTTTGTTCTTACATTTCACAAGGGAAATCTCTCTACAATTTATGTGGTAAGATAGGAGTATATATACTGTTTTTGTTTTTCCCGAGCGGCCACTAATGCGTGTTGCAGTGACCTATAGGCCAAAACGAGGTGGAGTCTGTGCAAAGTAATCTGATGAAAGCATTCAGAAAAAGACATTCTGAGCAATTCACAAGTGAAGTGAATTCACCGTAGTATCATTTTTCTTGAAAACGCTTTAAAGTAAAAGACAGTAATAGTTACGAAACAGTTATATTGAATTGTCTTTAAATGTGATAACGTGATCGAAAAATAGCTTTGACCTACCGTTTTGAACAGCTATAGAACTAAGACATTGTTACTCATAGGTTTTACATTATTTGTCTCTTATCTCTAAACTAATAGTAAAGCATTTCCAGAAAACATTGTAAAACTACTCCATTATATGTGCTTAAAATCTAAACTAAAATAATTTTATGAAAACATCATAATACTGAGAATATATCGGGGGGATCAGTATAACACAAATTAAGACACAGCTCCTATATGCATATAACAAACATGGTTGGGAGGTGTATATGATTTCTATTCTTTACGCGTTACGCATGCATTTATACAAAATGTATTTTGATATCCCTTTCTATTTTTGTGTAAAAAGCTGAGTTAACTCAGTGAAACGTAGAAAATAAACTTTTCTTTAACCCTGGATTTTAGCTTTTAGTGTTATCTCGCCCCCTGAAATGCTTGTTTTGAAATATTTTAGTGCTTATACATATAGTAATTTAACATAGTTTAATACCTCAAATGTACTTAAAAAGGGCTTTGTTTGGACTGGACAAACTTCCATTTCAAAGAGTTTATGCATGTCTTACATTAATTGGGGAACAAATAAATAGAAATGCTATAAAATTAAAGGAAACTTGATAAAATTAAATTCACAAAAGATCCAAGTTAATAATTTACTGAATTTTTCTCTTTTTCTTTTCTTTGCAGGTAGAGCAAAAAATAAAAGTAACACACTTTAAAAACTTCTGAAAATACTCTTGTGGTACAAGTGAATCTTCAACTTACGGATCACTATATTTTTCCAAAGAATGAAACCTTGATGGTAAGGGTGTCTCAGAATCAATTTATATTATGTTATATAAAGACTTAATGAGCAATTATAATATAGCAAGTCCTTAAGTGAACAAAAGATATATGTTTAAAATTCGATCCAATAAAAAATGGGTGAAAATCAACGTATTAGAATTTATATGTGACTAGCTTAAATGAAGCTCAAAACACAACAAGTAAAAAAAAATAGTAAAATGAAAAAATAAGAATTGCACACTCCATCCTGATTAATCATTACTAATTTTATCGTTTGCAGGAATTCAATTGTAAATTAGTTAGAATAGAATAAAATAAAATTAAATTCATTAGTCTACTAATGAATTTAATATTTATTAATATTTATGAAACTATGCTGTTAGAAAAGAAGGATTAAAAAGCTTTTAACAGTAAGATATTGAGTTACTAGACGTTCAGGGCTACTGAAAGCGATAAATGACATAAAATTACGTTAATACTTACTTAAGAATATAACTTTCTCAAATACCATCTGAAATATCCAAGTAAAATAACAAAGTGTTTTGTTTCTTTAGAACATTAAACTAACGGAATATAATTAAGTTTCTCAAGCGACTACTGCTTAGTTAACTCTCTGGGGATTATGATTGTAATACACAAAAACTTCCTTAAATTAATCATCACCAATATAAAAAAAGACAGCAATTAATTAAAAAATAATAAAATAAAAGTAAGATATTTTTGTGAGTATATTGTTGATTACAATATGATACATGCATATTTGGCATATTCAACATACCTGCCTTTTTTATCATAAAACTGAACTTTTTGTATAATTTAATATTTTCATTCTGTCGTGTGTATAACAAGCTGTTTTTGCTCACTTGCTTCAGTTTTGTTTCTTAAATCATTATCAGAAACTTCTGCACACAATTATCGCACATGAAAAACGTAAACTTTAATGGGATTTGCAAAAACAAGATATAAAGTCATTAAATCTTTGTCACCAACAACTTGTGTTTATGATATATGTCAATGAGGGGTATTTAAAGTTGGAGATTTGTTTCTGCGGTTCAGAATCGATTACTATCCGCCTTTGTACCTATTATATTGCCTCTGAATAGTGTTCATTTTACATAATCTACTACATATTATAATTATTAATCATTCAATGATGGTTTCTGTAATCCAAAAAATGAATGACCTTGCGACAGAATGTTGATATTGCAATTAGTAACCAAGACTTACAATCAAACCATCTGTGCAACTTTTTATACTTTGCGTTGAAGTTATTAGTGGCTTTATTAATATTAACTTGGACAAACACAAGTATAAAAATTGTATTTCAAACAGATTAGCATTACAGTTGCAGTTTATATAAACCAATGAAGTTTATTATGAATATGCGTACTAAATTTAACTAAAATTATAGATGTACTTGGAGAAAGAACACAAATCATTTTCTACTTATTAATATCTAAAACGCTTTACAAAAGGTTATTGCTATTAGTTTTATATTAACTATTTTAAGCTGTGCAATGGGAGTTGTTTATTTCTTCGAGAGTTTATCCAATCAGATTTTGTCAGAAGAATACTATCACATCTAGTCTTTTAGCTGGATCGCAGAAAAAATAGCAGCTTAGATTTCGTATGTGTCTAATAATGTCAAGCTAACGTACTGACTTCTTTCGTTTCACACCACCTGCCAAAATCGCTGTAGAAATGACGAAAAAAAACTCAGTTTATTCTAGAGCCAGGTGACGCTGCAAGTCTGTCTTAGTATTGATCATCTTACCAACAGCTTGCCGGTCTCACAGCTGGTCTCAGTACGACATTTGAGTGAGAATCAACGAAAGGGAAAGATGCAGTAACGTAGCTTACTTATCTAAACTCTGATGACATTTTGACTTGGTCTGACACAGGACAGAAATTTCTTATGAATGTTGTCAAACAATGAATACGTTAGTTCTCAATCTTGAATCAATGCTTTATGTATAAGCAATGGTTACAAATTCGTTGATTTTTTTTCAGAAACATATATTCCTAATCAAGTGATACGAGATACCGAATGGAAGAAGTAGTTTAAAACTAAAATGGCAGGATTTGTTATATATGTGGTCACCGTTTGTACCTTCATAATTCCATATAACTGTCACGATATGAAAGCAGACGGAGACCCACCAGAAAAAAGTAAGATTTATTAGCTTCTTTATTAACATGTTTTAGTACAGAAAATAATACACATACATGTGCACTTGTATTGTCTTCCTTTAACTAAAATATCTTTGGTGAACGGTAAAATTACTTGGTATAAAATGTATATTTTGACATCAGGTGATATTTAGAAATAATAACAGTTACTCTTACAATTATAAATATATTAATATTTAAGTACAATAAAGTTGAAAAATAAATTTGTTTGTGTCATTTTGTAAATGCATTCTTTTATCTTCCGTTTTATCTTCCGAATTCTCATTATCTGTAATTTGGGTAAAAATAAAGCAGCTTTACCTTAATTTCTTTTAAATAAAACAAAAAATGAGCCACGAAATAATGGACTTTTAGAGAAAATATTGAGACATGTAGTGTTAGCTGTTAGTGGATTTTTATTTTTATATTAAACATTAATTACAGGATCGTAGTTAATATTAATACATGTTTCCAGATTTTTCAAGATATGTTTACACCTTGTTGAATTGAATTTTAACGAGTTGGCACGCC